TGAATTCTGGAGACGGAGGCAGGAGGATCAAAAGTTCGGGGTCATCATCTTTGGCAACATCGTGAGTTGAAGGCCAGCCTGGGCTACATGAGACCCTGTGTCAAAAAAAAACCTAGAAATTAAAACATATGTAGTGTAAACACACACACTTGAAAAGCATGTGATAGGTCAAAGGCCAGATTTGAGGAAGATTTGGGAAGCTGCTGTTTCTTGCCCATTAATCATAGCTTTGTGTCAGAGTGAAGGCACAGGAGGAGGGTGGGAAGAGACAAGGAGTGCAGGGCCAGAAGGTTTTCTGCAAGGACTTGAAGCATTAGGAACATCTGTGTCATACTCACCTGTGCATTTGTGGAGACCATCAGCAAGAGACCCTCTACCCCTGAGTTATCAGGGCCACATCCTAAGCGTCTTTGCAAAAGTAGACAAAGAATCCCACTGCCCCCTAACACACACACACACACACACACACACACACACACACACACACACACACACGAGTCCTAATACACCTTCTTAAAGTAGGAAAATCCAAGGAGCCACTCACAGCTGCCCCTGAATCTCACTTCCCACTGCCTGGCTCGATGGATCGTGTGTGTGCCTGATACCCACATTCCAGCCAGTCTCCCTCTCCTCCTCCAGGGACAGCTGAGCCCCAACACTAGCAGCCTTGGCTTTCCACAGCTTGGACCCCAGTTTGGAAGCACATGGTTGCTTTACCAATCACCTCATGAACACTGAGGTCACCTTCCTGTTTGGAAGCCCAAGGAGGGCAAGGGTCATGTCTGACCAGTTCTTTATGGACCTCAGGGCTACCAAAATGCCTGAATATTATATGAGAGTAGTAAAGACATTTTCTGTGTGTGTCATGTTTGTGGGGACTGTGTATGTGTATGCACAGGTGTGTGTGTGTATGCATGCATGCATGTACATGCATGTACACATGCCCATGAAGGCCAAGAAGGTTGGGTTTCATTCCTCATGTGCTTTCCATGTTCTTTGGTTTTGTTTGGGTCTAATTTGTCTTTTGAAACAGTGTCTCTCACTAGGGCTCACTGATCCAGCTAATCTGCCTGGCTAACCTGTCCTATAATCTGCCTCTAACCCTGCTCCACCAGCCCTAGAATTGCAAGCACACAACACCATACCCAGATTTTTACATGGGTGATGGAGATTGAACTCAAGTCCTCACTCTTGCTTACAAGGCAAATTTACCTACTAAGCCATCTCCCCACCTCCAATAGTTCCAGTATTTATATATGGATGAAGGCCATGGGTGCTCACGGATGCCCCACATTGGCGACTCAGGAGGGGGTCAATAAATCTGGATGGATCAGCTCATCCAGGATTCTACTTTATCTAGATGCTATGGGTAGGCGAGACCCAGTGTCCATCCTGAGGGTAGAGCTGTGACAGGGGGTGTTGGCTTTGAGTGGCTGTGTGGCGTTGAACCTGAGGTAAGTTCAGGACACAGGAGTGGGCCACCACACCCAGGAATGCCATGCCATCTCCATGATGGCAGGGGCTGGCTGCTGTGCTAGGGACATAATTCATTCACAGAAGGAATGGCACCAGCCATATTGGTCTTCACCACAGTTCATATACTCAGGAAGACTCAAGTCTGTCAACTCACCATAAATGACAGTCACACACACTCACTCCTATTTCTCAATGGCACTCATCCCGGCAGGAAGTTCGCCAGCTGTCAGATTCAAGGAAAAGCCCATCCTGGACTCATATCTGAGCCCTTGGCTAGAGGCTGGTCTCAAAACTGCCTGGAGCCTCCCCTACAGAATGATTCGCAAATTCACAATCCCAGGTGATGACCCCTACACAGCACCCCGTCTCTCCCACTATCCTCAGAGTGTACGCTGACCTGGGTTAGAGCCTGGGCCTTCCAGGCAGTTGGGCCCTGGCATCCAGGCTTCCTGATCTTCCTGTAGCCCCATGATTAGTGACTAATCTTATTTTTTTGTTGTTCCCTACCCCATAAATCAGTTACAGAGCAAATATTTACACAGCCTGTCATTTCCGATTGAACCGGGGCTCATGACAATCTTCGTTATTAAAAAGGATGGTTGATTTGGGGCAGATTTCGCAGGGCATCTGGCTAGATGCTTTCTTCCAAGTTCCTCCTCCCTCCCTCTGCCTGAAGAAAAAGACCATTTCCAAGATAAATTGGTTCAGAGGTCTCTGCTCACTGCCTCCCTAGGGCCCATGGGACGAGGCCAGGCTTCTGTCAACCCAATAAATGATAGTCTCCCTAGAGAAATGATCAGGCTAGCTTCTGCCCTCTCCTCCTGGCCTCACCTTGGGGTCAGAAAGTGGAGCAGAGAGAGAATCAACTTACTAATATCAGAAACTGGAAAGAAGGTGGCTGAGAAAAGGGCTGGGAAGAGCAATGAGCGTGGCTTCCAGGCCCCTGCTTTAGTGCCAGTACATGCACACATACGTACATACATACATGCATACATACATATGCACATGCATACATACAGGCATTAGGTCATTTCTTCATCTTCAAGATGAACAGAGAGGCTATGCAACTCTACCAAGGTCACACAGTACAGAAGAGGTGGAGGCAGGATTTGAACCGGGTTCGGCCAAGCTCTGAAGCACTTTGTTCTACCATGTATCACAGCCATGCTAGGATACTGCTCTATGCCAGCACCCAGGGTCAGCACCCTAGGCAAGGCAGCACTAACCTTTGCTGAGGTGTGAGCCAGCAAAGACCCGTCCCCACCCAAGCCAGATGCCAACTGGAAAAACTTACCCGAGTTGAGTGAATATTTCACCCCCTGTGTACCATTTCCAAGCCTTTCTCCTCAGGAAGAAAATTAATCTAGTGGCTGGGGAGATTACTCAGTCAGTAAAGTACATGCTATGCAAACATGAGGATCTGAGTTCGAATCCCCAGCACCCAGGTTAAAAAAAAAAAGACAGGCATGAATTGGGCAATTGGGCAGTGGTGGCACACACCTTTAATCCCAGCACTCAGTGGGCAGAAGCCAGGCAGATCTCTGAGTTCAAGGCCAGCCTGGTCTACAGAATGAGTTTGAGGACAGTCAGAGCTACACAGGAAAAAAACAAACAAAAACCTGTTATGAACCACCACCCCATGTTTAAAAAAAAAATCAGGCATGATGGCATGTGCTTGTAATCCCAATATGGGAGAGTCAGGGATAGAAGCAACCCTGGCGTTTACTGGCCAGCCAATCTAGATAAGTTAGTGAGCTGCAAACCAATGAGAGACATGGTCTCAAAACAATAAAGGTGACTGTCTCCTGAGATGACGCTGAAGGTTGTCCTTGGGCCTCAACACATGCTTGCACTTTTGCGCCTGCCTTGCCTGCATGCATGCATGCATGCACACACGCACACACAAATGCATCCAAAGAAGCTGAGTAGGCATACCCACTGTGTCTAGACCAGTGGGTTTAGGTGGTGGCTCCGTGGGTTCTATCCCTCAGAGCTGACAAGGCAGACAGCAGCTTCTCCTGGGGACTGGGGGTTGGAGGCACTCAGCCCAAGCAGGGTTGTGGGCTGGACTCCTCAGAGCCAGTCACTTAACATCCGCTAGACTCAACTTCCCGCCTGTAAATTACAGGGTTCAGCGCACATTGTCTCAAGAGTTCCTCACACCCAAGCTCTCTCAGTCTGTGAGGCAGCTCGCTCTCCTCCATTCTTAGCACGGTGACCTTGGTCAAATCAGGATCCTTGCAGCTTTGAGTGGGCATTGGTGATGCATGCCTTTGGTCCCAGTACTCAGGAGGCAGAGGCAGGCAGATCTCTGGGAGTTCTAGGTCAGCCTGGTCTACAAGAACTAGTTCCAGGACAGCCTTCAAAGTTACACAGGGAAACCCTGTCTTAAAAAAAAAGATTTCTTATTTACATGGTGGAGTCACCTCTCTAGCTCCCCAGCTGCCCCTTGTTTGTGAGGGGCAGATGAGTCTGCATGGAGGATCACAGCAAGGTCTGGGTGAGCATGGTCACTCAGGGCTGGCTTGCAGGGACTCCAAGAAGACTTTCGGCTCTTTTTCCTTGTAAGTTTAATGAATCGGGGCCTATTGAGAGAGACCTTTGGCATATGCTCAATGCATGCAGCCAGAAAGCTTGCCACAAAACTTGATCATTTGGGATGAATTAGGACACAGAGTGTGCCTATCGCTGAGGGCAACTGAACCCCTTTATCTACAGAAGTCTCCCTGCTCAGCCATGGTCTGTGTGCCACTGCCCTGCAGGAGATGTCTGACTTAAAGACACCTGGCATCTGTCCCTCCCCATTTAGGGACTGTTTCTCTGCTGCCCAGGTCAGTTGGAGATGCCAACCTAGAGGACAATGGCCTCCTTGAGACACCAAGTGCCAATCAGATCTCACTGGGGGAAATAGATTTTGAGTGGTGACTCAATGGCAGGAGGAATAAATGTTTGAAGTTCATTTGGTCTGGCGGTGGCTTGTCAACAGAACCTAATAGGTCATTCTGGCTACATGAAGCCCCTAAGATAGCCTGGTGACTATCCTCTGTGAGACAGGGTTACAGCTTTCTTAACCATCCTGGGAACTGGCCTACAAGTGTCCAAACAGGTTCATGTTCTGCTTAGACAGCTGCTGTCTGCCATCTACAGCAAGACCCCCTCATCCATCCCTCAGCCATCACCATGCAATGTTGTGTGAGCTTCCTTCCCCCCCCCCACCCTTTGGTTTGTTCTTTCTTCCAATCAAATCAGCCTCTAATTCTCACCGCAATCCCTTTAGTTTTGGGAAAGAAGCCAAAACCTTACACTAGGCAAGTGCCCTGCTGATGAGTCTCGCCCCCAGCCCTATGGGCTCCAAGTTTCACTAAAGCTAGACTCCATGGAGCAAACACAGCTCCTTACACCTCTGGGGTGAGTCCCAGATATCTGCATTCCAACAAGCCCCCTGGCCACTCCCCATGTCTTAGAGATGTTCTCTCCAGGGCACTGCACAGTGTGACGCTCATCTATGCCATCATTGCCAACAGGGTAGAAGGAGCTGGTGTCCTAGAACAAAGTTCTGTGCAGAGGACAGCATCTGCTCAGATTCCCCAGGAACCAAGACTTCAGGACCTGGGAGCTCAGCCACTGAGGCTGACCTGGCTGGACCATTCCAGAAGGAAAGAAGAAATGGAAATCAAGCACACCTCTGAAACAGTCTCAAGAACACAGCCACACAGCTACGAGACCATCACAGTTATACACTTCAAGGGCTAGGGGGTCAGTTCCCTCTCTAGTGCATAAACTAAATCTGGTCCAAGTCTGTTTAGTCAATCAAGTTTTATTGGGGCCCATAAAGTTTTATGGTGTCTTGGTTAACTGCAATTGTCAACTTGACACCTAGAACTATTAGGTGGGGGGAGGGACTCTCAACTGAAGAATTGCCTGGGCCAGATTGGACATGTCTGGGGGGGGTCTTGATTATAAGTTGGTGGATGAGGGTTCAGCTGGGGTGCACCATTCCCTAGGCCTTGGTCCTGAACTGTGTATGAAGGCTAGCTGAGCATAAGCCTTCTTGACAGGCAGCAAGCAGCCTCTTCCCTGGTTCCTGCTCCACTTCCTTGGGTGTGAGTGAGTTTCTGCAGGTTTTACAGCTCCCAATAAAACAAACAGTTGCTTAAAAGCCCAAGCATACTGACTTACAGAGAACAAAAATCACCAGACAACATACATAGTATGAGCTTTCATACACAAACAGTATTTCAACATAAATGTGTATAAATACATGACTATCAATGCTTACACATTCCCTGTGTATCTGTTCGATGTGTTTGCGGGAGAATGGGGAGGATGGGAGAGCTTCCAACCTTTGCAGTGAATGCTTTATCTTCTGCAGTGAAAAGCCTCGCTGCCTGTGACACGTGTGTAATTTGGAAAGAAAGAAACAAAAAGGAAAGAAACTGGAAGGAAGAGTGAGAGAAAGGAGGAGGGAAATAGATGGAGGAGAGCAGAGAGAGGCAGAAGGAAAGTGAGAAAGAAGGGAAGGAAGAAAAGATGGGAGGAAACATCCCAGTAACCCTTTACAACCTTTACAGGTCCAGCCGCGGGCCAGGACGGCTCATGGGCTGTGCTGTTCTGACTGCCAGGCCATCACGCGTTAGCCTCTTGAAGTGGGATCACTGCTGCATTCCCTGTCCCCAAAGACCCTAACACACAGAAGGGCTAAGACCTTGCCCACTGAGGTCCTGAAGAAAGCGCAGTCCCATCCTGTTAAGTACAGAACTAAGACTTCAACCCTTACCCTGAGCCCTTGACACATGCACGCATGGAGAGAGTCGGCTGTGTGTTACTCATTTAAATGTCTGCAGCCGATCGCTGCCAGCACACAGGTTAATTAAATGGCAGTGATCTTTTTTTTTAATCAATTCTCATTTTCACATCAAAGGGGGTCCTCGCTCTGTGGCACTTCGCTGGCTTCAAAATGAAAGCCCTGATGGCGGCTGATGGCTTTGGCTCTGTCTAGAGACCCGTCCGTTTCCCAGTTCTTGCCAGGAATAAAATCCGGTCCACGGTCAGGCAGGTCCCCAGATCTGATGTTGCCATCTCCAGGGAAACCGCACCTCTAAGGGCGGCAGGGAGCCTTTGCAACCTCAGGCAAACAGACACAGATTCAGATGAGAATCTGCGCACCTGCTCTGAGTGAGAGACCCACTGTCTCTTGACAGCTCTGAGGAGTGACTGAAAGGAATCAATACTATATTTAGGGGTTAGGGGTGAGAGAGGGAAGCAGAGAACATTAGTGGGTTTTAAAATATCCAGGAAGTTGCTACACGCAGGCACACTTTGCTCCATGGTATCCTGGGAAGGAGGGCCCTGGGCAGGTGGACAGCGGAGGGCCTAAAACCAATCCAACACTCAACCTTGGAGCTGGCACAACCTCAAGTCTTACTGCTGGGGGGAGAGCTCACACTGCAGACACTGGGTTCCAATTCAGGCTCCTGGGGGACTGTTCTAGACAACCCCCCTTCCCTCCCACATATGCAAATACACCTAGCCTCTGGCTCTGCAGCCTTCAGGGTCACTTCCAAGTCGTATCTCCCTCACCAAGATGAACTGTGTATCAGTAAGCTTTGGCAGGCTGGCAGACAGGCAGCTGCCCACCGAAGGCCACACTGGCTGCTGCTGGCACTGGCACACCGTGTCCTAAAGGCCCCTCCAGCCACACACTCCCAGCTGGTGTGGCTGCCTTGGGCTCTGTTGACAGTGTCCATCTCAGAATTCTCGGGGACGCTCCAGCATCCGGCGGTGGCGGCAGGTACAAGCCAGGCTGCAGCTGCAAATGAAGTCTGCTGCGGAGCTAGGAATAAGGCCACACTCACAGGAAGTCTTGGTGTGATGGGGCTGCCCTAGGCAACCCTTCCGTACATTTCCTCCAACTTCTGAGCCAAGCAGGAAGTTCGCTGATGGGAAATGAGAGAACAGAGGATGGAGGCCGCTGGCCTGACACCGATGGAGGTGGCACCCTGCTCAACCTCTGCTCTGACTCTGCTACTACCAAGTAGCTGGAGGCTCGAGGAGAGAGACACCACAGATGCAGTTCAAAGGAGAGTAGAGGGCTGAGGGGAAGCTCAGTGACAGAACACTTGCCAAGGCCCTGGGGTCCATCCAGAGGGAGGGAGGGAGGGAGAGAGGGAGGGAGGGAGGGAGGATGGAGGAAGGGAGAGGGAGGGAGAGAAAGAAGGAGGAAGAAAAAGAGGGATGGGGTAGGGAGGGAATAATGAAAAAATAGAGAAAAGACTTAAGAAATTTCTCCAAAGAAGATGGATGCTCAGACGGCAGTCAGTGTGCACATGAAGGAGGTCAACATTACAACACACTGGAAAGTATGGTGTAAAGTCACCAAGACACTCCTCTCCACGGGCATCGAGGTGGCGGTACTTATGAAGAGTGGGCGTGGTGAGGATGTGGAGAAACAGGCCCCTCACTCAGCACCGGAAGGGTTGGGAAGAGGCACCAGTGCAATGGAAGTGTTTGTGGCCCCTCCAAGCATTAAATATAGAATTATCATACAGCCCAGTACTGGACCATAACTCAGTCTTGTAAAAGGAGGTCATCGTGTTCCCACACATGAAGGGCCTAAAGGACTTATATTAATGGCTTCCAGGGGCAGATAGGGGGTTGCTTTTTTGCTGCAGAATTTCCATTGGGAAGGGGAAAAAAGTTCTGGAGACGGATGGACAACTGTGTACTTACATATAACAAATTTCGTATTTTGATTAATTTAGAACATTTTTTGCTAAAAAAAATTGTCGTGTTGGCAAATAGATGATACCCACCCTTGAATGATGGAGAGTGGGGATGGAAGAGGGAAGAAAGGCCTTTGAAAACCACAGTAAAAAAGACACTAGAAGAATGACTACTCTTCTTTAGGACAACCACTGGGGCAAGCAATGTTAGGGGGGGCTGCCCCTCAGGAAAAAGGAAGCCATATTGTGTGAGGGGCTGTCCACAAGCTGAGAGGAAGCAGACCCCCTCCACCTTCTCCACAGCTGTTCCCCTAGCTGCCTGCTTTCCACCTGCTTGGAGCCAATTTAATTAGAAGTTCAAGGCTCCCCCAAGACTCAAAAGCAAATGCCATGTTTATAAACTGTGAGCAGAGGAGCCATAAAAGCTCAGGTCATTGAAGTATAGCATGGGGCCACCTGCCACCTGCCACCCTGTGGAGGCTGCCATGTCCAGCCTGGGTTTAGGGGAGGCCTCACTCCACTCATGATCAACACATTACCTGGATCATAAGGAAACCAGTGGATGATGAACCTCCAGAGAAGTGGGGTTCATTGCAGAGGAGGTGCACAGTGGACACACATTTTTCCTAAGTAATCATGGTGGTGATTGTCCTCGGGCGACTCAAGCAGTCCTGGGAGCCAAGGAAATCAGGGGTGTGAAGGCAGACAGACCAAGAACCCACTTTTCCTCTCCTTGGGCCTATCTTTTGCAAGAGAAGTTGGTCTCCATCCCCCACCATGGGGGTGGCAGACCCCCAAGGCTGTGAGAGTAGTAGGGAGTCAGAGTTTGGGAAGGGGCATGGGTACAACTCAGCCATCGACACAGTGGACTCTTTTGAGAAAGGCCTGGACTGGTCAGCTGGAATCAGCCTCTATAGGGCCCTCTCAGCTGCTCCCTGGGAGCACATTGTCAACCAACACAGACCCTCAGGCACTGAGAATGTCCAGCACATCCTCTTGCCAGGTCTAGATATTATCCTCTTGAAACAAGAGCCCAGAAATCATCCCAAAGAGCTCCAAATTTATTTAGGTCAGGTGTAGAAGTACATATCTTTAATCCCAGTACAAAAAAGAAGAAGGAGGAGGAGGAGAAGGAGAAGAAGGAGGAGGAGGAGGAGGAGAAGAAGAAGGAGGAGGAGGAGGAGGAGGAGGAGGAGGAGGAGGAGGAGAAGGAGAAGGAGAAGAGAAGAAGAAGAAGAAGAAGAAGAAGAAGAAGAAGAAGAAGAAGAAGAAGAAGAAGAAGAAGAAGAAGAAGAAGAAGAAGAAGAAGAAGAAGAAGAAGAAGAAGAAGAAGAAGAAGAAGAAGAAGAAGAAGAAGAAGAAGAAGAAAACAGCCTTGGAGCTGGAGAGATGGCTCAGTGGTTAAGAGCACTGGCTGATCTTGCAAAGGGCCTGGGTTTGATTCCCAGAACCCACATCAGGCAACTCATAGTCATCTATGACTCTAGTTCCAGGGTTTCAGATGTCTCTGACCTCCTTGGGCACCTGCACTCACGAACCCTGGAAGAGCCACCCTCTGGCGCGCTTGCATCTTTCTGTGTTGAGAGTTAGAGGTGCCTGGGGAGTCCTCCAGGGATCTGTTGTACCATCCCCAAATATGTTGAAGGCATATAATTACTGCAGAATGTAGGCCTCCCTGAAATAGGGTCACCATGGAGTGACTGACTGAAGACTTAGACTCCCAGCCCCATGAGGACAAGACGTTTGTGGTTTTGGCAGCAGGTAACAAGCCAAGAACACCTGTAAGCTAGGCATTTGTGAGTCCCTGTGGACCATCTGACAGGCTGGCATCTGTGCAGCAAATCCCTGGTGCCCTCCCTGCCCACCTGCTTAGTCTTATCAACACATTATCTCATTTAATTCAACCAAACAACTTGTGGACTGTGCAGATATTCTCACCTGTGGCTGGGGTGCCTTCCCCAAGGCCATGGAGCTTTAGTGAGGATGTACCCAGAGGATACCAAAATATGACTACAGACACACATAGCTGGATGTGAACACAAGACATCAGACCCCAGAGTCCACGATGCTGACCCTTGGCCTCCCTCCCCTTTAAGGCATCCCAGGGGAAAGTGATGGGCAGCAAACACCTGCCCCTTCACGTACCTAACCAGACCCTGACCTCGGCTCATGGCAAGAGGAGGTCCCTAATGACATGCAAATTAAATGCAAATTAAACACAACTCTCAGTGCGCACCAAGTTGCCTTTTTTATTTATTTTTCCTGTGCAGAACAAGCCTGGTTGTTATAGAAAAAATAATAATGTTACTGAAAAATAATGATGCTTCGTCAATGAGCCGGAGACAGATCAAGCCGGCCCGGGCTGTAATTGCCTGCCTTGCACCGCATGCACTTAGCTAGGTGAGGGTGCTATTAACTGCACTAAAGAAAATATTTATTCCCAAGAAAGCTGAGTAATAAGGGAAGCATCCACTGAGCGAATGCCTTGTCTCTCAGATGAGGGAGAGCGGCTCATTCTGACTTCATAAACATACTGGGACTGGGTTTGGCACAGTT